GCACACACCTGCTCACACAAAGAAGCCTGGAATGGAATGGAGTGGAGTAGTGGTTGGGGGAACCTGTCCCTCAATTTCATTCCCTAAATTCCTTTTGTGCCCATTTTTTAGTTTATTTTTGGTTTTAGTGTGACATTGTGTATTCATGGGTGTAAGGCACTTTAATTTCACCATAAGATTCATGCAATCTCTTCTCTTGTGTAAGATAAAAAGGAGCTAGTTAGTAGGGCAGACATGGACCCTTCTGCCTACTACTTTACACCTAAGTATGAGTGAATGAATGAAAGTCTTACACTGAGATGCATCAGAGCAGAGTGGTGGAGGAGGAGATACCACCAGAAACACTGCAATTACCATTACTTCCCCTACCAATATATGCCTTGGAATGGTGGTGTAGCTGTCTGCATATCTGTAGGTCATGGCACACATGGGGGACTGATAGAGGGTAGAGGAATAATAATGCACTCCTCCTCCTTCAAAATCCAGTGCCTCCAACCCAGAGCCAATCCTTCCCGCCCACTCTTTCCTCCTCCACCTCCCCCCTCCTCTTCTTCTTCCTTCCCCCCTTCCTTCCTTCCCCTTCTGTTGCTGCTGCCATTGCATTGATACTCATCCCTACCACTTCTACTTTGTGGAGTTCAGTTACAGACCTTGGGGGATTGCCATAATATTGCCACATTCACCCATCCATCTTTTCTCATCCATTCATTCATTGGATAGGACTCATGAAATTTGTTGCCAAACTCCGACAAGTCCTGACACCCTTAAACCCCCTCTCTTCTAGAAAATAGATGAAGATTTATTTTTGATACAATGGAGCTTACTCTTGAATATACAGTATTCCTCTTGATAATTAATCTTCCAAAATTTAAAAATCCTCACTATATTTAAAAAATTGAGAATGAATTTTGTTTTATGGTGCATAATTAATAGCCTCTAATTTTTAAATTTTTAATAGCCACATGGCTATACATGATTGGCCAAGACAAGGCCCCTTAGCTCTATGTGATTGGGCAAAGCAAAATTGCATGGTCAGCAAGACCATGTGGCTGCCAATGTGGAATCAAGGAATTTAAATTACAGGGCCATGAGATGAATGATTTCTATAATGTCTTCAACACACCGCCTCTGAAGATCATAATCTCTGATAATAAATACTTTTCCCTGTAACAGATGATATTAATTAACAAAAGAAACACTATATAAGGCATGCAACATAACTAATTTTTTATGGAAGACCCTCAGGTGAGCACACTGTATGAATTGCACAGGGAGACTGAAAGTGACTCAGTGGAAATGCATCAATGTGTGATGGAAAGTATGGGAAGGTATCCAGTTGGCAAGAGCAGCCACATGGATTTTCTTTCACTGGGTTCACAAATAAATATTTGTTCCTAATGACTTCTCATGTGGGGGTAGTTGTTTGTTGAGTGAATGCATCACAGAGAAAGGAATAATGCTGCTTTTTGTATGCCTCAGTATTACAGTCATATATATATCTCATTATTGAATGGAATTCTTTCACCAAACTTCAACTTGAATTGGACCATTGTATGAGACAAGACCGAAGCGGAAAAAAAGAATATGTTGTAACATGGCTCATTTGTCATTGTGAAATTGCTATCAATGATTGAAGGAAAAGATCAGGTAATAGTTTTATTGATAGCTTCCCACTTTGTACCCTCAATTTAAAAATAAAAATAAAAAACATATTTTAGAAAAAAATAAGTTAGCTTGCAATGACATAGACACCTCTTTACAATAGATATATGTTCTTCCATCTATGGTAAACCTAAGGTAACTATACTGCACCCACACCTGTGAACCTAGGACAATATGGAGTTTTTTTTTTTTAATATATATATATATATATATATATATATAATAATAAAAAAGCCATTATTATCCTAGCATTTCAAATACAAATACACACACACACGTCTATATATATATATATATATATATATAATTTGATATTCTCCTCTTTTCCCAATTATTTTATTTTCTTTATTCTTTATCTTTTCATTTCTTCCTTTTCTTGTGAAAATAGAAATATTTTCTAACCAATTCCTCTAAATAGTCATTTCTCTTTCTTCTTGATGCAAGTTAACTTCTCTTGATCACCAAAAGTATTCTATTCGATTAAATACAAATGAGCCTCAACACTGCTCCTCTTTGCACAATCCACACACTTGCTCCTCCACTGGTTTCAGTATTTTGTGTAATATGGTGGTTATATGGAAATGTTTGCAAATATTTTTTTAATATTTATAAGTTTTATTTGTATTTATTTTTTCACTCATTTAAAAATAATCTTGAATTCTAAAAGATAATTTTAAAAAATTCAAAATTTCTACTATGTTAACAAATAAAGTATAGTATTTATTTTTATTTTTATTTTTTTGGTTTTAAAATTAAACTTGAGAATTAAGTATTTTATTTATTTTTAATGTATGAACAAAGAAATTGACATATCCTTAATTTTCTTCGCTTCAAAAAATAGTTAAACTTTTGTTTCATGACTTTTATTGCCATATTTAGCCTAATTATAAAAAATAGTCCAACTTATAATTTTACACAATGTGGGCTTTTTCTCATCTTTTTTTCACTTTTTTTAATTGTATATTATTAAAAAAAATAGAAGTATTTCTCTACATAATATACATCATTTTCAGATTGAATGAATAATATAATATCTAAATCCAAGGTTTTTATTTTTAGGTTGAGAGCCACTTCACACTATAGACAATTGTTGAGTAAACAAAGGATTCTACCAATATGATTGGTGCAGAGAAAAAATTGACTACTTGGCCTTCACACTAGATGCAATGGCCAATAAATGTTTTGGTCAAATGTGTAGATAAGGCATCACTTTACAATGAGTTTGGTGCTAAGAAGTAGTCCAGTTAAGGAAAAATTGGGCTAGAACATTGAGCTGACCAATTGGACAAACCTGAGATCATTTTTGTATATTTTAATAGGTTTCTACATTTGCCATTTGCCCAATATTAAATAGAATTGTCTAACATTTGCTCAACCAAATGCCATAGTGTGAAGTGGGCTTAAATCTTCTCTTTTACATGGGTAACTGATTTTTATTTTTATTTTTATTTTTCACAGAAGTACAATTCAAGGTTGTTAACCATGATAAAACCAAACAACTACAGGTAACAACCTTAAATGGTACTTTTTTATATGGACAGTTGGTTTTCTTATTTTTGTTTGCTTATGTATCCAAAATTTATACTACCAAAGTATGGCAAGTTATCTACCAAATACATTTAATTATGTGGGTGTGTATATATATATATATATATATATATATATATTCACACATACAGAAACATACAAAATAACAAAAAAAATGATTTCTAAGTTGTAGATTCTGAACCTTGCAAATTTCTAAACAGGAATGTATTACAAGTGTGATGTTTTTAATAAGTTTGCATGTCTTCTTTCACTTGTAAGCTGAATGTGGGGCCTGACACAAGAAGAATGATAGGTGAGACCAGATAGAACTAGGTTGGGTTGATTGGTAGTTTGATTTGGATGTCCCACAGATTTCCGAGTTCCATTGTGGTGCATGGGAGGAGGAGCCTGGGTGCTGCCGGCATTCTGAGGCACTGGAATACAGACAACAGAAGGCTACCACCCAGTTTCCCCCTTCCTTGGTTTCTACCATATGGTCATGCAACCCAAGTGTACGATTGTGCCCCATCTATGCACCCAAATGCACCACCCTCCCATCCACATGCACCCTAACAAATCCCTTCAGGAGGGGGAGATCAAAGTGCCCAGGGTTCAGGGATCTAGGTTTCTTTGACTGCTGAGAAAGATTGGAAGTGTAGGTAATTATATACATATATGTAATAGCAACAACAATAGTAAGCAGCAACCAGGCTCCATGTTCCCTCAACTCATTTATCTTGCAGTTTCTAATTACAAAGTACAAGATTGCTGATGTACTTAAGTATTAGGACCAAAAACTTACGTTTGTGTGATTTGGGGATTGCTAATTTCATTCCTCAATTATAAATTCTTTTTATCTTTCAGGTGGGCAATGCCGACAGAGAGGAAGGAGCAGTAGAAATGTCAAGTGGCAGAGAGTCTCACAAAAAAATTCCTTGCTCTTCTCCCTCGCTCCCCCCTTTTGTTTTATTTTATTGATATTTATTTTTCTCTATTCTTATAGCAGATGTTTGTGTGGAGCCTTCCTTCAATACAACATACTACTGTCATGCCACTCCATACAACTATTTTTGAAAAACCAATCTCCTGATATTCATGTTTCCCATAAAACAAGTCCCAACAGATAATGTTTTTGAATTGTGTGGGGGAGGAAAGGTAACCCATGTGCTTACTTCTATTCGTTCATTCATTCATTCATTCATTTTGTTTTTGGTGGATGTTACTCTCCAAGCTGCAATGAGGTGAGTGTCAAAGCTGTGGAAGATAATGCTGACTAGTATTGAATGTGAAGAAGAAGAATGGATGAATCGACATTCCTTCTCATGCACAAGTCTTGAGACTGTGGATAATTTCATTGACCCACTTCCATCCATGTGTCATAAAAAGGGGGGTGTCAGGGATTGAACACGAGCAGAGACGGGACGAGATGGCACGGCGGACGACTGACTGGGCCAGCCAGAGCGAGACCCACCCAGCTAAAGGGAACGAACGGGGTTGGGAGTTGGGGGCAAGGGTGCATAAAGGGGGAGGGGGGGATGGCTGTCGGTAAACGGGAGGGTGCGAGCACAAGCATTTGACTGCGCAGCCAACACTACAACTCTGCCACGGCAGTGCATGTGGGCCCACCAACGCCGTCGATTGGTTGGTTTTGGTGGGCTGCTGCTGATGCAGCTTGCTGGTCTTTGTTTCCGGGATGTCGTCATCGCGGGGGGGGGGGATTCTGGTCTCGATTGCTCGTGCTGCGTGGCATCTCTTTCTCTGGATTCCGCTGCCCAGCTTCTGCTCCGAATCATACCTCGGACTGGTCGATCAGAGTGCACTTCTACCGATTACCAACCCCTCCTTCTCCCCCCCCCCCTTCCCACGATGCCTCTCCTCCTCCTGCTACAGCTCTGGACCTTCTCGAATAGCGGTGTTAGTAATCTGCAAGTTTCCGTAGCGTCGATAGGCATGTCCGATTCAAGAGTCAAATGGCGGCAGAGGGTGGCAGGCGGAGCCTCCTGTACCAATGATAGTGTCACTCTAGTTATTTGTTTTTGAAAAGGCGTCTTGCAGACAGCATCGTGAGAGACACGGCACGGCTATATGTATCTTAAACCCTTTCACTGCACCGTGGTCCTTGCAGTGTTTTTCTCTACTTCCTCCACCCCTCTCTTCCCCGGTATTCATCCCATCATTGAGGTGAATGTTCCAGATGAGCTCAGGTCCGCCATGTTTAGGGATCCTACTTTCTTTCAGTCACTATTCTTGATCTTTTGGCCCGTAATGTCCATGTGATCACTGTATATTGCCCAATTCTGCAAGCGAACATTACAGCCAACCCGACCACAGTAGCTGCCTTATCAGTGCTAGATTATACCTCCTTGCTCATATTATGCTTGATTACAAAGTTTTCGAGATTCTTAATTGCTACTATTAGGTTCAATCCCGAACTCCACGTCCTCATCGATGTTCTTCAGTCACATTCTTCTTTTAAGTGCGCCATCTTGTCCTTCGTCTAAATTATTGATCAGTCACCAACCTCTCTTCGTGTCGGCAGATTGATTCATCTCTCCTTTGTTCTCTGAATTGCATCTGTGGTTACTCCCACGGTCATTGTTAGTGGTACTGCCACCTCTATATCCTCCAGTTCTGGCTCAAGAAATAATGAGTGAGTAGTGACTGGTTGGTCTATTTATAAAGCTGCAGGTGATTTGTTATCATGGTAGTGCACAGATGTTTCGAAGCAAGACAACCAAATGGCTCCAGCATTAGGTGCAGCTAGTTCTTATATAGTTTGGTTCTCACAACAGTATACGTTGAATATGAAATGTTGACCACATTCAAATCGAATTTTTGCACAGCGTCAGTGAGATGTGCTTATATGACAACCACCGGGCGAAGTATTGGCTGGATTGACATGCTTTCATCGTGGCTCCTACTTCTGCTGCAGGCCGTCTCTGTTTTTATTATCAATTAGTTTATAGAAAAAACTAGTCAATATGACAAGGCTGTCGAAGCCGTCGGCAAATGGTATAAACGATGTTCGCAAAGGAGCCTGGGGTGCGGATGAGGACGAAAAGCTTCGCAAGTATGTGGAGAAGTATGGCACGGGGCACTGGCGCAGTGTGGGAAAAAAAGCAGGTGCGTCCGAAACTAATTACCTCCTCATTAAATTTTCATTGTTTAATTGAATTATTTCCCACTTTACGTCTAACTTCTCACGCTTAGATTGCTCTCTCCTTGCCCACGGTGTCCTCAGGGTTACAACGGTGTGGGAAAAGCTGTCGGCTACGTTGGACTAACTATCTGCGACCAGACATTCGACATGGGAGCTTCTCTGAGGAAGAGGAGGATCTCATTGTCAAACTGCACACCTCACATGGAAGCAGGTTTCAGCTGCTGCATCAAACTTCTAAGATTCCTGTGGAGCTAAATTTGCGAGTACTAAATGTGTTTTCATTGTAATCCAATGTGTAGTGGGTAATGAACTTTTGATGGACAAGTTTCGTAACTTTGATGATTACTAAATGTGCAGCTATGAATGAATAATGAATTGGCAGATGGTCATTGATAGCGGCGCAACTGCCAGGGCGAACTGACAACGATATCAAGAATCACTGGAACACTCGACTGAAGAAGAAGCTTTGTGACATGGGTATAGATCCTGTCACCCACAAGCCCATCGCCCAGTTATTGCGCGACCTTGCAGAAACCTTGGCCCTCTCAGGCTCCGCTGTAAATTCGGTAACTTCTAGCCCTCTTCATCTCACTCAGTTTTCAGTCCTAACGAACATATAGTGTCGCTAATGATTCCGGATTCTGAAAGTGTGAACTGATACCAGGATGCAGTGGAAGAGGCGCAACGGTGCTTTCGTGACACTATACTTAACAAAGCAGTGCGAGAGTGTGGAAGACCTTTGGAGGTTCAGCCTTTCTCCACGAGCCAAATCGGTATGCAAGATTACCGACAGCCATCAGCTGGAAACGCTGGCACAGCCAATCACTATCACCTTAACGCACATCAGTTTGAGATGAGCGCCAACAATTCCGACTACAGCAGGGGCGGGGAAGAGGAATCCTTCTCGGGACGCTCTCCCAGCCCAACTATTTACTCGAACTTGAACCACTCGGCATATAATCGAGGCTGGTCCGGCGAACAGAGCCTGCAGGACGAAACTTTAAGGATATCAGAGGGATCTTACGCCTTTCCAAACCAGCTGACGATACCTGCAGATCAAACACTGCTCAGACTTCAGGAAATTGCCACGCAGTCCGTCATTCTAGAACCATCAGACTGTCCCGATGTCCAATCGGCGTCCCTCCTTAAAACATCGAAAGAGGATGCAAGCAGTGAAATGTCCAATTGTAATAGAGCTCTCGGTGAGTTGTTTGCTAGCTCAAGTGCGCCATTCCAGATAAGAAGCAATCAAGTTCAATATCCTGAAGAATCAGTATGGACGTTGGGTTCAAGGCCTAACTTATCCTTCATCCAGGATCACAATACAGTTCCAGAAGAGGAACTAGAATCGTCATCTAGAGTGCGATTCGGTAATCTTCAAGAGTGGAATCGCATGGCAAAAGTGCCGACATGTAGAAGTAAAAACAGAAATTTTCCTCGAAACTTGGCAACAACTGTTTCGAAAGAGAATCTGGTGGGGTATAGAAGCATTATGCATACGGATGGCGCTAGCTTTTCGCCTGCAAGTTCTGGCGTTGGTGCAGCTGGTCCATTTCAGGACATTCTTCGGGTCAACGGGGAATTTACCACATCAAACAATACAATTTCTAGCTTCATCACTTCTAATGCTGCGGAGTCACTCGGTGGAAGTTGTGCTCCTGCGCATTCAGAACTGCGACTCAATGAGTACGAGGTTCATGTCCCCAGTACGAGAATGGTGTCGTGGGACTGCTAGGCTCCATGTCTCAGCCCGCTTACAATCTCCTAGCTTCTGTAATAATGACTTTTATCTCCCACTTCCTTGAGAAATGATTCAGATTCTCTTATGTACCTTTATTTTCATTATTTCTTTTCTGTGGGAGGGGCTTGTCAACTCAACTGTAGTTACTTTGAATTGTTTCCACATTTAATGATTCAGTTTATAAAAATTATGGCGAGGGCAGTTAATCTCAGGCTCTAGCTGAAGACGAGGATCTGTTGGGAAGATTGACCGAGCCATTTCACAAGGTTCCATGTCTTCGTCTTACTGAACGTCAACGAAGAAAGAGAAAATTCTACCTTGAAGAGATGATGAAGTTGGTGCTAAATTTGGAGGACGATTGCACCTCCTCTCATACTAATTGCACCCATCCTAGGAACCTTTTCTGAAAATGGTTAATTGACGTGAATGCTATTTTTCATTCATGCTTATTGTGTTTTCTATGACTCCATAATTGACCCTCTTTATTACACTGTTTGGAAGAGTTTTGATTTCATTGAAGCACTAATTTTAACTAGCAAGTATATTAGAAGGTTGTTGATGATAGATAGATTTATGAAAGCAATTGGACTTTTGTGTTGTGTGCTTGGCTGCGAGTTAATTATAATAATAACTGAACGACAAAGTAGTATCAACACAAAGTTACTAATTATCACTAATTCATGCAACACACAATATTACCCTAGGGATCTTGCAACAAGTTCATGATTTTACAAGTATCTTCACAAGGTCCCTCTTCTTTCCTTAGCAAGGCATAGAACCTTACTCATTGTTAAGAAACCATTTGGAAACACCATCACAAGAAAAATGAAGACATTTTACATTAATGGAGGAGGATTAGCTATAACAAGGCATAGATAAGATATTTTATTATTTGCACATAGAAATTTGTAGTTGGAGTTATTTTTAAGAGGTTTCTAGAATTGAGATTAGGGCGGTGGTTCATGAGGGATCCACCATAGAACCTTCTAAAAAGATTTAGGGCAGTTATTATGGTAGAAACAACCTCTAAATTCTTTTAGAAGAGCAATTATCTTAGAAAGGCATACTATTAAAGACATTCTAGGAAGTTCTAGGATAGTTGAATAAAGTATAAATAATACTAATAAAGACCATTTGAACATTTGGTCAAGTATGACATTAGACTCTTTCTTTCAATAAAGTTTGGTTTTCTTATTCTATTCTATTTAGTTCTATTTGATTCTATTTGGTTTTATTCTCTTTTACTCAATCATGTATTTCAAGTTCCATTCCATTTAATTACTTTTAGTTTTATTTTGGTGTATTTGATCTTATGTTGTATCAAGATCTTTGTTGTTATGGATGTGATAAGGTTTTAGATCTTAGAAAATCTGGTCTTGTTTCACTTCTACTTTCTTTTAATTTTGTTGTCAATTTTTTTTTTTTTTTTTTTTTTTTTTTTTTTCCCTTATCTTCAAACAAAATTTTCAACTTTTCTTGCAAGTCTCTATTAGTTGATTGAAGAAAAAACTCTACCTTATTTAGATCTAATAATTATTTTTTTTATTATTATTATTTTATAAATGAGAATACTATCTTTTGAATTTTCTTAATAATATATTGCTTGAAGATCCTTCTTAGATCTTTTAATCCACTCAAAAAATGACTTTTTTGTAACCTAGTCATTATCTTTCAAGAAAAAGTCATCTTTTACTACTTGAAAAAATTTCTCCCATGATCCTCTAAAATATCTTATAATAGAATTTATATGATCTCTTATTTTTGGAATAGAAGCTAATACAAATTATTGAATTATTTCCTTCTCAAAAACACACTTCATTTGTATTTCTTTAATATTACATCTTAAATACCTTGTAATATCTTTTCCTTTATATGATCAATTTTGTTAACAACAAATTATAAAGCCTTTTTTGCCATATCCCCTTTTAATTTTTAACATGTTGTTATTGCATAAATAAAGAAAAATCCTAAAATATGCTTATAGAGTTGGAATCAAAATACATACTTTGTGCTTTATTTCTAGTTCTGCTTCTAACTCCATTTGAAGCACCAATTGAATTGCTATTCAAAGCCCCTTCTTCAATTCTCTTGCCTTCCTTCTTCATAATCCAAATAAAACCAAAAAAATCTAAATACCGTCCATTTTAAGCTTTTCACATTAGATTTACCAAATTATGTTGTATTTTGTGGAGTTTGCTTGAAAACACATTGGGCAATTAGCTATGGAAGGTAAAATAGAATTTGCAACAAGAAAATCCTAACAACTCTCATAGTTTTTTAAACAAACTCTAATTCAATTATATCAATGCTAATCAATCTTTAATTAAATTCCAAAAGAGTCTTAAAGAACTTATAAAAGAAACATAAAGAAATCATAAGTTAATTTTATAGAAATATATAAAATATAAAATTTCAAAATAAATATTAAATAAGTAATTTTAAAATATTAAAAATAGAAATCATAATAGAATCCTAATTAAATCCTTATTTAGTCCTCAATAAATCTTAATAAAATTTTAAATAAATCTTAAATAAATTATAACCAACTCTTAATGAATCTTAATGAAATCTTAAATCCTAATTTTAGACCAAATCCTGATGAAATTCTAATGAAATCCCAATGAAATTTTAACCAAATCCTAGATCAAATCCTAATCAAATTCTAAATCTTAATCCTAATTACACTCTAATCAAATCGTAAATAATTTTAATAAAATCTAAAGTAAATCTTAATCAATTGTTATTGATGTTTGAAACCTCAATAAATATTAATTGAACCATTAATCTTTAGCTAAATTTTATTTAGACTTTAATCCACAAAAAATTTATAAACATTTAAGATTTAAGAAGAATCAAACTTACCAATTGAAAAAAAAGCTATCATAACCTTTTGGATATTAGTCAATCTCTTTTTCAAACTTAAATGTTAATCTCTCCTCAAACATTGCTCTTTATTGAACCATTCAATTGCTCCAAAAATTAGCTCGTATATAAATATTAAAGTCTAAAGTTTGCTTCAATCAAACTAGCAAATGTTGTAAGATCATAAAAACCCTCATTTACTCTAAATTTCAATTATCTTAGGCCAGACCCACAAAAACTCTCACAACCTTCAATCTATTCACTTGATTGATATTAAATTTTTTATACATATTTAAGACAAACATCATAACAAACAAGCAAATTTTTATTTATAAATATATTGCAACATTCACAAAATCATCAAATTTGTGAATTTTATTTTGTTTCTTAAAATCTAAATCCACTAAACACATTTCTTACTTTGAAAAACTCTCAAAACCTCAATATACCTTCAAATCACATAAAATCAACTCTCAAAAATCCTCTCATAAATTTGCTCTCAAATCTTCTTTTTCAAACAACCAAAGAACCTTAGAATCACATTAGAGGTGTGGTTTTGTGCCTCATGATCTGATTTAGACCTTGGTTCACAACTAGTCCTCTTTGGGCATAAATTCTTCATATTTTGATGTAATTTAAGCTAAAAACTATTCTTAATATTTTTCAAAATATGCTTATATTAATTATTTATCTCATTTACTTTTATTTGACTTATTTATGTTCCTGCAAAACAAATAGAATTATTTTCTACAAAGCAATATTAAGACTAAAGTTCTAAATACATTCCTATTATTTATATTTGTTTTTCTACAATATCTTTTTATTAGGCTCTTCTATAATAAAATACTTTCTTTCTTTTTTCACCTAATAGCTATATTACTACACAACAACATTAAGAGATAAACTACCATGTTATTATTAAATGATAATAAAAGATAGAAGTTAACAAAAATGACATTAAATATGTATTTATTTAATAAAAGTTAAATACATAATATATCAAGAATATCTTAAAGGAACTTTTAAGATACAAATATTATGGAGAATAATGTAATTAACAAGTATTAGAAGAATGTTATTTGTACTTATACTTGCATCATATTTAATGAATGTTGTGATATTTTTTTGAAAGATCAGACTCTTATATTGTAAGTACTCTTGACAATAAAGTTCTAATAGGTCTTAAAATTAATTATTTTAGTAACTTATATATATATATATATATATATATATATATATATATATAATATTATTTAAAATTTTTAAAATTAAAATTTTAAATAACATATATATAATTCAAATTTTATAATAATAAATATTAATTAAAAAAATATGAAATAAAATTATATTTTTTAATTAATTCATATAATAAAATTAAGATTTTTGATTAATTTAAATTATTTTTAGTATTAATAAATATTTTTAAGGTTAACCAAAGTAAATGTATTAAGTATTTTTATTATTATATAAAATTATTTAAAAAAATTTAAGATAAAAAACTTATAATTATTTAATAATTTTTTAAACATGTTTTAAAGAAGTTTTATAAAATTGGTTTTACCAAATTTTGGAGGTCATTATAATGAAAAGAATAGAATTTGGCCTACTATAGATTATAGACTAATTCATTTTCTTTCAAGTTCATGATTTACAAGTTCATGAAGTTAGATTTCTAATAAAAACAAAGTAAAATATTAAGTAAAACTACTATTGAAAGCAATTAGTAGGAAATTAAATGTATTTATAGCGTATGGATTGAAGCACCTTAGAAGTAGTTATGAGAATAACTCAAATGTAAAATATCTTTTATACCACTTCTAAGCTTTAGTGATGTTCAAATCCTTAACCATATAATTAATTAATTCTATTATAAAATCTTAATTATTTATTTTTTTTCTTTTATAATATATATGATTTATTTAAATATCTAATAAATAGAGCATATCTTATTTTTAATGTAAAATTCTTGTGATGTCTCTCTTTTAATTTTTTTCTTTCTTTCTTCTTTAATAATACTGCTTAATTATACCATTAATTACAAACAACTCTTTGTAAAGGTAAAATTTATATTTCAATCTTAATTCCAAAATTATCTTAGTTAAGACTTTCTTGAAATATTTGGTATGATTTAAAAATTACAATCAAAGAAGAAAAAAAATTAAATAAAAAATAATCATATAAAAAATATAGACTAAAAAACTATACATGATTTGTTCATCAGATTTTCATTAGATAAATAATAAAATATAAAAGTAAAAAAATAGGGATAAGTTTTAAAATAATTCTATTATACTTTTAAACAAAAATAAATTAAATCACAATGAATATTATAAAAATTAAATAAAAATAAAACTTCTACAATAAGATTTTTAATAATTATCATATAAAATAAATAAATAAAGTAAAAAAAATAAAACATTATGCAATAAAAAAAACATAAAAATAATAGACCATTTAAAATAATTTTCTTTAATACTCATTAAAGGTCTAATTTTATGATTATTTATTCAATAAGATTATTATCATCCAAAAATATTTTTTATTTTTTTTAATTTAAAATGTTTCATAAATTTAATGTCATTATTTTTTGATTAAAATGTATAAAGAAATTATTTAAATAAATTTATC